TGAAGGTTTGTGGGCTAGATGACCCTCCGGCAGAGTAGGTTGCCTGGCACGAGAGGTTGTAGGGAGTTACTTGAGGCGTGATACCCTCGAGATGATTAGCCATTCTCCGGGCCACACGGTCAGCGTCGGAGGCTTTGGCTTGCTTACGTTCCTCTTTAGATAGATTGGCGAGTTTCTCGCCGAGGGATGGGTCGCCTTTTGGGACGTCTGGTACAGGGGCGCGATTGGGTGTACGTGCGGATTTGACAGAAGAGGCATCCTTAGTAGCAGATGCACCAGGTATTATCTTGCATCGTTGAACTCGGAGTTTCCGCTTCGCAAACTTGAGCTTCCCTGGTTCGAGTGCAAGGATTTCATCTACACAAGTCCGGTCCTGAGGGGTCTCTTCAGTACATTGTCCGCAAGATTGGACATCGTACAAACCGTGAACTGAACATAAGCAAAGCCTTTTCCCAGTTGAGTATCTCTGTCGCGTATCATGCGCACACGAGTGACCCAGAACTTGGGCTTGTCTCCATCTTGCGACAATTCGGTGCCAGGAGGTCCTCGCTCCGCACTGACGACGCCTTCAAAAAAGACACGAAGGTCCTCCTCGCTGCTCGCAAAATCGAGGTTCCCTACAAAAATGGTGAGCTTTGGATCGCCAACAGCTGAGCTCGTGGCGTCTGAGGACTTCGCGGCAGCTGAGGATTTCGCGACTGCATCAACTCGAAGCATGCGATCCAAGAACACAGTTCCATCGCAATTTCCGACAGCCAGACGTGCGGCTTCGAAGGGGTTCATTACAGGAGGGGGAGGAGGCAAGTTGGTAGGTCTTGAATCAGCAGGCTGTGGGTAAGCAAACACGATGTATGCGTGCACGGAGTTTGCGTTTGAATGGATTTCATGGTTAATGAATGCGATTTTCTTCTTTTGACTAGGTGTGATGAACTTCCTCTCGTCTGTCTTTGTCGACTTGTCTGTAGTTTGTGCATCGCGCCAAGAGGAAGCACGATCCCGTTCGTGTTGCCTAGGCTGTTTATTCTTTGTGTCTTCACCGTTCTCTTCGGGAAGTTTTGACGTAGGCGTTTGGAAAGCGACCGAACGAAAACGAGTTGACTCGATCTTTGCGGTCGGGACAAGAGCTAATATATGGCGGCGTAGCTGCTTTTGCAAGGGCTGGAAAGAGAGCAAAGTCAATGAAATGTAAGAGAAACCCCCGTCTCACTTACACGCTTTCTGGCTACCTCAGGAGATAGGTTTCCGATAAATATCGTGCGGGCATCTCGTCTCTCCTGTGTTTCGTCCAATGGGGCGAATCTGTCCTTGCTACCTTCAGATTTACTCATTTTAGACCCCGCTCGGTCTTTCCGAAGAGTTTCATGAAGCAAAGTAGACGGCCCATCTCCCTCATCATCCGAGTTGTCTGATCCAGACGCATCCCCTGAGATACCGCTCGAGTTTTCTGGTTTCCTTGGATCCGAGGCCTCACGCTCTGATTCGGGCTCTGGGGCAATCATGGCGCGCTTCTTTCGGGCGCTTTCTCGAGCCTTCTTGTCATCACATGAGACAACGGGTGATGGGACTGTTTCAGAAAGTGAGGATTTGGAACGTTTGCTGTCAGGTTCTTCGCCATGCCTGTCGGATCTACGTTTCTTCTTCTCGACCGAGGGTTGGCCTGTCGAGGTGGAGGAGGATGGGCCGTCCTCCCGAATCTGAAGTGACAGTGATCAGGATGACCTAGCTGGGATAAGAAATGTTTGCAACACACCTGGGTGCGGAAAACTGCATCGAGATCCGCATCTATAGCCTTTTTCTTGCCAGACGGCTTGACCCCCAGGAGAAAGGATGCGAGGCTCATGCTGGCACTTGATGGCACCACAACTTGGAAGGAAACTTTCTGTTTGGTGTATCAGAGGCGGGGCTCATTATGATAAATTGGTGGGCGCTCGTTGCATGGGTACATAGCGCAGTGGTAGCGCGCATGCTTTGCACTGACTTACTATTAGGTAATCGTTTCTGTATGAGGTCCAGGGTTCAATCCCCTGTGTATCCAAATATTTTCATCTAGGATTCCAAGTCACTTGAGATCCCTTTTTCACCAGACACTGTCCACCTTACTTGTTCTGATGAAGGGTGTTATGGCGGAACTCTACCTCATTAACATCAGTCGGCTGGTGGTGATCTTGAATGGGGTGGTGTTCACACATCCCTAACGTGCACCATTCGTGCGGAGGATATTGTGCTAATGTAGGTCGATTTCCCTCTGTTCACACTCCACGGTCGTTTTAGTGGCCCTCCATTTTGTGGGTCACACAAACGTACGGAGGCGCACAGCTCTACATCTCTACCCCACAGGTGAACATGCAGTAGAGGGAACGGCACTCCAGGTCCTCTCGCGGCTATCCAAGCGTGTTGTTAGTGTATACAGGATCGAGCTTGGAACCCTCATTAGTAAGCAATTGACATCATGGAGTAGTGCACTTCAGTTATCGATGTCATTGGGACAGACACCTATTATCGGGCGTTGGGGCGGTACTGAAGCTGCTGCATCACAATTCCATGGTTCTCTGCATTCCATCGGCTGTGGGAACTTTTCAAGGATTGTGTTCTGGTCTACTTGGGAAAGGTGTCGCGGGGTTCCTTCCTTTGATACCAGGGTGAGCGTAAATTCTGGAAGGCTGAGAACGAGACATGGAACGTTTCTGCAAGGCGTCCTCCCAGTCGAGATACTATGATCCCCCATGCGGAACGACGTGAGAACTACATGCCCTAAGCCATCGGCCACTCTTCAAATACGCCCTGCCCAAACCTGAAAAAGCTTATGCTCCCGGCATCAACGGCAGCTATGACTACGGTCTTCTTGCCTGTTTTGAGAGCAAGGAAAGGATTCGGTGGTCTGACCGGCATGAAAGCCGGTTTATCCGTTTGAGCTGTGCGGAAGAAAGGAAGGAAGAAAAAGAGGCGGTCGAGGAAGGTCGACGCGGACATAGGCTGGGCAGATGTCGACTGTGATTGAGGTAGTCTGCTTCGTGATGTTCCCAAAGGTATTTTTCCAGGAGAAGGAGGAACATCGGTCGGCGGAGAATTGACAGGGTTCTTGACAGGAGCCTGCATTCCGCGCTTACGCGGCGGCGGGAGTGGCATCTCTGGGAGTACATCGAAGAGCGCGATCAGCTCCTGTATGGAAGGCATCGGTGTCATGCGCGCGCTGCACGTGTCAAAGTAGTCAGCAATGGTGTCCCAGTAGGCGCAAAGAATGAGTGTTCAAGTGTGACGGACTTAATAACTACGACATAAAAATCTGGCGCAGGCGGAGCTGTCTTGCGGAATGGGGTCGAGGGCTTGTACACATGGAAAAACACCTTGTATGGTGATGAAACGGGTGCGGATGCCGGTGATTTCGATAATGGCGCGGGTTTGGGCTCAGCTGAGGGGAAATGCAAAGGGAGGGAGTAACTGCAAGGCACGAATCGTAGCGCTTTGAATATGTCCGCTAATCGAGTAAAGAAAAGTTAAGCCAGGCGAAAGTAACTACCACTTGGAGGACGAACCACTCGTTCTATATCGGCCAAGGTGAAGACGCTTCCACCAGTGGCTCCTTCTGAAAAGTCTGAATACACTTAGGACGTTCGACGCAAAGTGCGAGAATAGCATCGTAAGTTTTTGCAGTACTGTTTGTGGCTGAGCCAGGGAGCGGGTTGACGGAAGAGACGTGCGTGCTGCAACTGGATATTCAGGTGTCGGGGGGTCAGCGCGCATTAGTGCAAACCCGAGACGTTTTAGATAGGCATACACCTAGAATACAGTTGCAAGCACGCAGGTGTAAAATGTGAGTATGATCATCGAGAGACAAGGACAAAACCACTGTAGGATTTGTTACCTGATAGTGTTCTAGCGTCATTCCCTCGCCACCGATCATTTCCGCGAAAGCTTGTTGGACAGACATCGGTGCTCCGGGACTGCGCAATTCAGGGTTTGGAGAGTCCACGAACGAAAGTCCGTTAGAAATTGATTTGTAGCAGAACAGAGCACCGCGCTCGACAAGATATAATGCCTCTTCTGGAAGAAGTTCCAGTCGTTTTGGGAGTTTGGATCCAGGTGTTGATTTAGATTGGGCATCCAGCCTCTCAGAAGGTGCCGTCCGCACGACAGAGTGTCCCATCGTTGAAAAGTGGATTCCACGCGCTGTCGTAATATGTACTCGATCGATCGAAGGATACCAAATGCCATAACTTATAGATTTGCTGCAGTATCGTGTCAACAGGATCACTCGCGCCCTAAACATCCGGAGAGCAAAAAAGATGTTTAACTACCTGGAAATGCTCCTTCCCGCACGAAGTGCCTCCAACATCGCTTCTCTTGAGCGGTCAAGGACGTGGAGCTGTAACCCCGATCCGCCACCTGGGGCTGGCTCGAAGTCCTTTTCACCACGTTTAGGAATAACAGGTCGCGCTGCTGCTCCAAGTTTTCTGTTGGATGACATATCACACAAGTGTGATCTATCCATTGATTGAGACTCACGGGAGTTTTGTCCAATCCAGCCCACCCTCTTCGTCCCCAGAAGACTGGTCTTCCTCTTGTTGAACATCTGCCGCAGATGGTTGTGGACGTGGAACCTCGAGTGCGTCGTCCATCTTGACTTGAAAGCAATGGTGGAAAGCGATAGTGGATACTTGTCGGGACGATATTGATATTGAATATTGAATATTAAGATTGGAGCAGCAGTCGAAGTAACATCACTGACCCAAAAAAGGAATATGTTTTCAGTCTGAATTAGGAAAGTTGGTGGTTGCAATAAAATAGTTCTTTTCAACGGACTGCCAGCTTCACTTTCATTCTCGACCACTATCCAGGAGGTCTCCGAAGCTGCACGAGATGGCAGCAGAACGCAAGCCGACGTTCGCTCAGTCCCTCACTGTGCGCCTCCCTGTTTCTTCTCTCCAAGCGCCCGCATGAACCTCCCCGACATTCGTCTCTCTCCCACGTAGGCCGGAGGTGCAGCAGGTGCAGCAGTCGATCTGCTTTTCTTCCCGATAGACACTGTCAAGACGCGGTTGCAGTCTGCACAAGGGTTTGTGAAGGCTGGAGGCTTCAGAGGGAGCTACAGGGGCATTGGAAGTGTTGTTGTAGGCAGCGCTCCAGGAGGTGAGAAATGTCCCCGCCCACCGCTGGGCAGTCAATGACCTCAATAGCGGCTATGTTTTTCTCGACATACGAAACGGCCAAAAAATCTTTGCCGCTCCATGGGCAGCTCGCCCCACTCAACCATATGATTTCTGCATCTATTGGTGAAGTCGTACGTTTCTGACATCCTTCCATCGTCTGTCAGACTCCTCACGGAACTTGCTCCAGGCAGCCTGCCTAGTTCGTGTTCCAACTGAAGTGATTAAAACACGAACACAAACGTCGACCTATGGCTCCGCTGCCACGACGTCCCTTTCCGCTGTAAATATGGTTATGAAGCACGAGGGCATAAGGGGATTTTACCGTGGATTCGGGACTACAATCATGCGTGAAGTTTGTAATCCTGGTACACAGTCTCTTTCATGCCTTCACGCATCCTCCCGTTAGATTCCATTTACATCGCTTCAGTTTCCTATGTACGAACTCTTTAAGATGCGCCTATCCCTCGCACTTGGCTCTCGCCCGCTCCGCGCCTCAGAAGCGGCGATATGCGGCAGCATCGCCGGTGGTGTCGCAGCCGCACTGACAACTCCACTCGACGTTCTCAAGACACGTGTTATGCTTGACATGCGAGTATGTATGCGATCTCACATTCCTTCTTCATATCCTGATGCATTGGTCGTTGGGCATCAGGATCCCTCCTCGCAATTCCCCTCCTTACTCACTCGTTTCCGGCAAATTTATATTAATGAAGGTCCGCGGGCGCTCTTCGCGGGCGTTGTGCCACGGACGCTTTGGATATCTGCAGGTGGTGCAATCTTTTTGGGTGTTTATGAGTGGGTTGTTGGAGGGCTGGTTTGCAGTTAATATAGGTGGTGAAATATACTACATAGAGCGATCGTGTGACATGCTGAGGTGTACATCAAGCTGCATCACTTAGAGATCACACTCGCGGTAAGACTTGGACCTTTTCGTGGAGAGGGAAACCCTGCGGACGAGCGGTGCATAATATTGCAATGAACTTGCGGTGGCATCGTACTACTAGATCTGCAAACTAAGCGAGTCAGGCTGAACGCCCATTTGGCATCTTGGCAAGAATTTCACAGAATGGCAAAGATGAGTGAGAATAGTTGTCTTCACCTTGAGGGTCAGGAGTAATATTGTTACGGTTCGTGCCTGATGTGCAATTTGCTGTGTGCTAGTGAGGAACTTGGTTCATAGACGAGCTGGTCGGTCACCAGGGAACTTACAGTCCTGAAAATCAATGGCTCACGAAGCTCTCGCTTCTAATAATGAATGCTGGGCCCAGCCAACGTTTCACTCTCACTGTGGACAAAAGAGGTGACAACATGGCAGGTACTTTGATCAACTTGAAGTACTGGAAGTATGCCCAGTCTAGTTCTCCCCCAGGCATACCATAGTCGTTCCTTTTTATTGGTCTAGTGGTGTCCGAGTCTTGACTTGGAATCTCAGATAATCCCGTGGAAACAATTACAACATATATATTGCAACAATCCCCAAGACTTCCCTGGGACCCCCCCAAGTCCTGGCGCGCTTAGTTTGCGATCTTCAGATATGATTGATGCTGTCATCATTTCACGGTTTCTTCTGTCATGTCACTTCCAGTGTGGCAGAAGCAGCTCAGCCAGCCTCCGTTGACCCCAAATGGCCCGGGGTCACGGTCTGCTCATCACACAGGGTAGTTCCGGACCCTCTACACGGCAGCCACGGTGTACTCTCGAGTGCACTTGAAGTAAATGTCTTCACTGATCAGTCGCCAGCCTGTTGCACAGCGACATACCTATTTCAGGTATGTCGCTCGCTGTTGTCATGTTGTGACATTTTCTGATAGGCCGAGTCTGCCGATAGCCGCCAACTTCCGCTCCTCGGGTTTTGGTGTTATCAAGGATACGTCGATCATTGATGTGA